GCTCTTTGATGTTTTGTTGTTTTTTTTCCCACCATCTTTCTCTTTGTGTTTTCATATGGGCAATTTCTATTTACCTATCTCCAAATTCAACAACTCCACACCTGGCTGTGTCAAGTTAACTGATGAGCTGACTGAAGGAATTCATCTTTGATATTGTAGTTTGGCTTATGTGCTGTCTGTTTAATTCTGGGTTACAGTTCCCATTGCTCATTGAAATCCCTCACCTGTTTATATATATAGTCCATATTTTACACTTGATCCTTTTACATACTGGAGCATTGTGAATTATATATTTGTCATATATATTTGGTCTTTGTACATGGTTCCTGACTTGCAGGTCCCAAAACTCTTGGAATTTCCTAAGTGCTGAAAGTAACCGAGGTGCCTTTTGTTATGTTAATGAGGTGGGTTTTGGAAAGTACCTAAGGATAAGGCTGGTTGCCAAAAGAACTAACTCTGTGATTAGAGGCTTGGAACTTCCAATACCATCCCCTGACCTCTCAGGGGGAGACGGCTTGAGGTTGAACCAATTGCCAGTGGCTAGTGATGTAATGAATCATATCTCTGCAATGAAGCTTCCATAAAAACTCAGAAGGACTGGGCTGGGAGAGCTTCTGGGTTGTTGTACATGTGAAGGTGCAGAGAGACTAGCACAGCAGGAGGGGGCGTGGAAGTTCCATACCCTTTCCTCATGCCTTATCCTGTGCATCTCTTCCATCTGACTGTTCCTGAGTTACATTGTTTTATAATAAATCAGTGGTCTAGTAAGTAAAATGTGTCTCTGAGTTCTGTGGGCTGCTCTAGCAAATTAATCAAACCCAAGGAGAGTGTTTGGGGAACCTCCGGTCTATAGCTTGTTGTTTAGAAACACAGGTGACAGCCTATTGGTGACTGGTGTCTCAGGTGGGGGCTGGGGGAAGTCTTACAGCTGACTGACTGAGCCCTTAACCTGTGGGCTCTGATACTGTTGCCAGGACACCCAGATGATGTCCCTAAGTATTGCTTATTGGGGGTGTGGGGAAGACTCCCTGACTCACACATGTGCAAATTGTGTGCAATATACATATTAACCATAGTTATTTATTTAAGCTCTATATGCCCTATACAACTCAATGTTTCACTCCATCCCACAGGAAACTATTATCCTACATTTAATATTTATTATACCCATGCTTTTATTTATAGATTTACCACACATTTACCCCTCATCATTCTACTGCATCTCTTAAAACTTCTTACATATTTGCCACTTCTTTGACTCTTTTTTGCTGCATTCTGGACACTTTCTCTAGATCTGCCTTCTGATTTTTCTAATTCTCTCTTTAGCTGTGTCTAATATTCTGTTTAAGTTGTTCCCTTGGTATTAAATTTCCATTACTTGATTTTTTGTTTCCAGGAGTTCTGTTTGTTTCTTTAGGTATGTTTCTTTCTTCTATTTTAATAAACTCTCACTCTGTTCTAATATTTACAGTCCTTTTTTGTATTTCTTTAAATATATTAACTTGTTCTCTTTTATAGTCACCATGCTGTCCATTATATTCCCCAGGACTTATTTATTTTATTACTAGAAGTCTGTACCTTTGACCACCTTCACCTATTTTACCCCAACCCCCACCCCAGACTTCTGGAAACCACCAATCTGTTCTATCTTTGAATTGGCTTTTTTGTTTTCTGTTTGTTTTTGGATTCCAAATATAAGTGAGATCATACAGTATTTATCTTTCTGTGTCTGCCCTATTTCACTTGTCATAGTTGTTCTAAAGTTTCTGTCTGATAGCTCCAACATCTGGGCCATTTTTGAGTCCAGTTTTGTTGGTTGCTTTGTGTCTTGACAACGGATTGAATTTTCCTTGCTTTTTTGTATGTTTAATCATTTTTGATTGAATATCAGATATCATGTATTAATCAGAGTGGACATGAACAGTGCTTCCCCCTGGCAGTGGGTGGGTCTCTTCTGCTGTCATGTCATCAGAGTGCTGGGGGAGGTTTGAAGCAATTTGCTGAGATGTTGACCTTGGTCTGGGTCTGGCAACCATGAGGCCCTTCAGGGCACCTAAGACCTCTCTGTGGCAGGCTGCAAGTGCCTCGCACTTAGGGTGGGGGCTGGGGGGCAGCATTGTTGCTCCACCCTAAGTTTTCAGCTGCCCCTCATGCCTGGCACACAGAGGGGGCCTCTACACACGTTTGCCTTCTTCCAGATGACTGATGCTGCTTGTGCAGCCACCGGCCAGGCTGTGTTGGGAGGCAGGAGGGCTGTCTGTCGCCCTGGCCCAGGGTCAGTCTGAGCAGGCCCCTTGGGCCTGGGACCTGGTGAGGAGAGTTTCTCAGGTGTTCTGCTGCTCCTCCCTGGAGGGCCGGATCCCACTTTGTACGTGCGGTGGGTTTGTGTGCGAGTTTCCTGCCCTCCCTGTTGCAGTGATCCTTGCAGGTACCATGTGGGACTCAGGGCCCAGGCCTGATTCCCATCCTTCACTTGGGGAGAGGAACTTTTCCCTGTCCTTCCCCACCCACAGTGTGGGTCTCAAATGGCACACCCTTACCCCTCCACCCACCAAGGACTCTGTGCTTCAGCTGAGCCTTTGGGAAAAACACTGTGGAGGAGGGGCTGCTGTGTTTATGACTGGCATGTGCCTTCAAGAAAGGACTTCAACCATATGTGAAGGTAAAACAGAGGCACAACTGCATGGGGAAAGCATGATTTATTTGGCTCCCATGGGTTATGGTTTCCATGGGGACAGAGCAGGACCCTCAGGACCAGGGCTTCCCTGAGGGGATGTGCAGGTCACGGAGGAATCCAGATCATCCTGCCATGTTCTCCCCAAAAAGCTCAGAGGGTTTGTTGAGCATGTTTTCATTGGCCATGTGCAGAACCCAGAGGGCCACCAAGGATTCATTTTAGAGGGGAGCAAGTGTGGCCCTTGTGCACTGGGAGCAGCTGGGTAGGAGATGTGTGGTCAGCAGCAAGAAGGGGTGCTACAGGAGACGGGTCTGAAGAGCAGGGTGGGGCAGGAGGGCTGGCAGCACCTGGAGGACTGGCAGGAGGGGGCCTTGCACATGGCAGGCTTGTAGCTCACAGGCACACACACAGTGGGTCTGCAGCTCATGGGCATGCACACAGTGGGCCTGCAGCACACAGGCATGCACAGAGTGGGCTGGCAGCTCACAGGCACACAGCAGGATGCCTGGCAGGGGCTGGGCGTGCAGCAGGCAGCCTGGCAGCCTGTGGAGCAGCTGGTGTGGCACATGTCCATGTGGCGCTGGGCTGGTGTTCTGTGGAGGGTGGTGATGTCTGCAGAATCCTTCTCTGGGTGGCCTTTTTATCTGGGTTGTGGGCGTCCCAGCAACACAGAAGCACAGCTGTTGACTTCCTCCTGGCTGTTTCCACCACGTTTCCCCAGTACCTTCTCATCCTGGGACGCACCTTCCTGTGTTATGCTCCAGCATAAATAAGTTTGGCTTTGAGGCCGATTTCTCCTTCTGTAAACAGAATGTTCCAGTTTGACTTTATATGGGTTTTGTGTTGTTTCTCCAGACCATTATTGTGCACATAGCACGACTGGCTCAACTCAGAGTACTGTATCTTCTTATTTCTTTTTGTCTCATGCCATCAATGAAGACTTTGGGGCAATAATGTATTTTGAGCTTTTATTTATAAAGGAAAACATTAAGTAGGAGTCTGCAAGCTGAAGTCTATGGGACAAATCTGTCCTGCTGCCTGTCTTGTAAATAAAGTTTTATTGGAAACGGCCATACCCATTCACCTGTGTATTGTCTGGGGCTGCATTTGCATGAGACTGTGTGACTGCAAAGCCCAAAATACCATCTGCCCTTTACAGAAAGTTTGCCAACTTCTGCCTTATAGAATAGAAATCTATATAAGAACTGATGTGTTCATGCAACAGATAGATTGCTATAAGGCAAAAGAGATGACCTACCCTTATGAATCTTCTAGGGCAATGAATAAATGAGCAAATGACAATATTAATGCACAAAATAATTCCAGGGGGGTGCTGAATCCCAGAAAGGAAAAAGGTTCAGCAGATAGAGTAATGAAGGATGCTGGTGGGAAGGACCTTGAACATCATGATGTGGGGTCTCCTGTCCCCAACTGATGGAAGCTTCCCCATTCAGCCTGGACCTTGCTTCTAGGAGTCACAGGGCCTCTGAGTCACAGTGAGCCTCAGCGGAGGAGGAACTTCCCCAACTGAGTCACTTCACCCAGAGACTCCAGGAAGAGACCATAGGGAGGGCCGAGGAGGAGAAACAACCAGGCAGCCAGCGGGAGGCACCATGTGGCTTGTTGCTATGGCGCCATGGCCTGTATATAAAGGCCACACTGGGGAAGGAGCCTCCAGACCAGTCCTGTCCTCCACCCTGATCCCACCCCAGCCCCACACCACCATGTGCTGCACCAGCTGCTCCTCCGGCTGCCAGGCGCCCTGCTGTGTTCCCAGTACCTGCCAGGCGCCCTGCTGTGTACCCAGCCCCTGCCAGGCATCCTGCTTTGTGCTCAGACCCTGCCAGACAGCTTGCTGTATGCCTGTGAACTGCAAGCCTGTTTACTGCATGCCTGTGAGCTACAAGCCGGGTCTATGCACACCCATGAGCTGCAAGCCAGCTTTATGCACGCTTGTGAGCTGCAGGCCCATTGTGTGCATGGCCCCTGCTGCCAGACCTCCAGGTGCTGCCAGCCCTCCTGCCCCACCCTGGTCTGCAGACCTGTCCCCTGTGGCACCCCTTCCCGCTGCTGAGCCCATGGCCCCCCAGAACCCCTCCTCTGTGGGGTCAGAAGTAGCTGGCTCTCTGAACTCCTACAAGGCAGCCCAGACATCTTCCACTTCAGGCCTTCTGGACCCGAATAGACTACCTTGCAGCAAGCCTGCTCCATCCCAGCCGTCCAGCCTGAGGGGCCCAGCCCCCATCCCCTGGCCCCAGCCCTGGTCATGCACACAGCACCCACCCTGCCTGGTGTGGAGTGTCCAGGCTCTGCAGCTTCCAGAATCGAAGGCCTAATAAATGCCAGAGTGTGAGGCCCAGCTGAGCGTGTGACGACTCTCCTTTAGTGCTTTTCCCTGAACGGCTTCCTCGGGCGGGTGTTTCCGCAGATTCCAGAAAACTCCCCCTGCCTAGGAGGAGCAGGGTCCCAGAAGCCCGTGCCCAGTGACAAGTGCTCAAAGGTGGCCCCTCGGGCATGTGGGCGTGCTCCTAGCACTCAGCCTGATGGCACCCCAGGTTTCCTTGTGACCTGCTTGGCTCCTTGAACTCAGGAGGTCATTTCTTACCCTGCCTGGGTGGGGCTGAGGGCAAATCACTTTCTGAGCTGACCCCTCTTAGGTGAAAAGGTGCCCTGCTCGGCAGTGAATACGCGGAGTCCACTCCCCTCTGCGAGCTGACGGCCATGCACCCTCTTGAAGAGAATAGCACCTCCTCCTCCCATCAGTGGGAAAGGGCTTGTGGGTGAAATCCGTGGTCCCCCAGAGACGCCCACGCCCTGATCCCCACCTGTGGGCATGGTCCCTGGCAGGCAAAGTGATCTGGCGCTCGGGAATAAATTCAGGGTCTTGCGCCAGGAAACGGTCCTGGGTTATGCCTGGACTTTTGGGACGTCCCTGTGGGCTGTGGGGTGCCGGCCCGGGGTCCCTGCAGGGCCTTAGGGGAAGGAGGCAGAGGGGGATGGGACGTGGCTGCGGAAGGAGGCCTGGGGTGCGCAGACACCAAGAGGGACCAGGGCGCTTCCGCTGGGGCCTCCGGGAGGGTCCGGCCAGGCCATGCTGGTTCAGCCCAGCGAGACCCGTTTTGGGGTCTGGGCCCCGCAGCAGTGAGAGAACCAATACGTGTGGTTTCAGCCACCATGCCCGTGGTCCTTCGTCCCGGTGGACGTGGGACGGAGCCAACGTCCCTGTCGCACAGCTCAGACGCCCGCCTTTCCCCCACCTTTCCCCCACCTTTCCCCCTTGCCCCTGCTGGCTGTGCTACCGGCTGTGGATGGGGAGCGGTGGGGGGCAGAGCAGGCAGGGGAGGAGGGGAGCTGAGCTGCACCTCTCACGCGGGCCTCGGCCCTGCTCACTCTGCGGGCCCCTCCCAGGCAGACCCCCCTGGGGATGGCGCCCCAGCCTGCCCTTCCCCTCTCGGGTCTGTCCCACGCCAGGCTCTTCCCGGGGTACCCCTGGACC